ACACACACACACACACACACACACGTCAGGCTGGAGTTTAAGCCCCTGGGTCCAAAACTCCAACCACAATTGACTACGTGGGAGTCCAGCGACCTAGGCAGCAGCACTCGGTTTAACAGGGACCAGCCCGACCTACCGTTCTGAAGTCTTCTTCGAACTTGAAAGCCCCACCTCCCGTGGCGCAGAGCGTGGTATGAAGGCTGGAGAAGTTCTTTTCGCTGCCCATTTGAATGAACCTGTGCATGGCGCAGCTGGGAAAGCGGATAAAGTGCAGGTTCCCTTTGCGCCCACACATGGTCAGGTTTTTCAGTTCCAGGTGGACGTCTCGGATCCCGGTTTTCCCGTAAGCAGTATTAGAAGTCAAATACTTCCGGATGCTCTTCAGGTTCTCCACTTCCTCTTGTTCCTCTTCGGCTGTAATATCCTTTGGTTCAAAGTAGACCAACTTAACCAGAGTTCCACCGATATCCATGCCAAACCATGGGAACGCTAGGGGACAGAAAGAAAGGCTGCGCTGAGTTCTCCATTTGCAAAGAAACGTTCACTTTAATCTTTTTGTGCATCTTAAAATTTTTCTTTCTTTTTTCCATGAGTGGGAGAGAGAGAAAGAGAGAAGGACAGAGAGACATCCATCCCGAAATAATCTTCAAGCTGCAGTCTGCCCAAGATTTTTTTATTTTTGAGATATTTTTGCTATAGGGCGCTGTGCACTCGTCAGAGAGACAGACAGAAAGCCAATGGGCGGTGACCCCGGCGCCCGGCGCAACCCCTTCTGCTCCATTCTCCTCTCAGAGTCTTAGGCGCGCAGGCACACACCCCCGATTTGGGTTTTAAGTGGCCAGGTCTGCGATTTGCACTGCGGTCAACCACGTGGGAGTCCAGCAGCATAACCATTACGCCATCTGCCGGTCCCAGCAAGTTTTGCCGGCTCTGCCTGCCAGCCCGGCCTGGATTGCAAGCGACACACCACAGACACACCCCCGACACAGCCCCGGAAGGGCTTCAGACCCAAACCTGGAGCCTTCCTCACAGAGCCTTGCCTTACTGCTGCGTCACCATCCAGCCCCAGCCTTTGAATATCAGATCATGAAAGGCAGCAGTGTCACATCTTTCGTACATGGGCCTTTAACAACCCATTTACTCCAATTCAACTCTCGGTACCTAAAAGGAGGCATAAGCAGAGAAATTCCCAACTTAAATGGTGCCCATCCGTCTGCGGACGCTGCACTCAGTGAGTCTGCCTGGATTTCAGTGAGAAACAGGACCCTGGCCCTCTCTCAGCCCATTCCCGTATCCTTGTGCTTCTTGGGCTCAAGTATCTTACCAGTCTGAATGCTAGTCCAACACTAGAAAGAAAGTAAATAAATAAAGGCTCCCAAATTCACCTTTTCCCCCAGACTTTCAGCCAAGGGAACTGATCCATTCCAACTCTGGAGGAGAACTGACTGTGGGCCTGCCTTGGTGACAGTGGTAATGCAGCAATTCACAATCTAGGCTGACTGAGGTTGGGGTGTGCAGACTCATCAGGCGTCCTTGTCTTTCTCTCTCTTGTTAAAAAAATAAGTAAAATTAAAAAAAAAAAAAATGCTGACTCTGGGGGGAGGTTACCACCAAGCTGTGTTGGTCTCTAGTTCACACGGCACCTTCCTAGGCACTTCTCAACGATTCAGCTTTTGCTGTAGGAGCTGATTTTGTGAGAAGGGACTCCACTGTTTTAATTTAACAATCTAGGAAGGACGGAGAGAAAGACTGAGAGATGACAGCAGACATGATGATGCCTATGGTGGCAGAATTTCAGAAAGAACGGCTCATGTTACAACTGATTTCTTTCTGCCTTAAGGGGAACACTCTCCACTTTCAATCTTGCTTTATGTTCAAATCGGCTGGGAAGCTGTTAACATTACGCTCTGGTCATCTCTCAGATTCCTATTTAATTTGGGGTGGGACCTGGTTACGAGTTCCTCAGTGATGCCAATCTGTAGGCTTGGGAATGCTTGATTAAAAGGAACCATGGCCATAACAGGCAAGTTCACAGATAACCACTGTGCCTGCAGATCTGAAATGAAGATATGCCTTTATGTGTATATATACTTAATCTGCTTGAGATTTTTAAATATATACTTAATCTGCTTGAGACTTGTTTCTTTTAATGGCCAGAAGGCACATCCACAGAGAGGTAGAGAAAGCACCCTCCAATGGCATGGTCACACGACAGCCTCTTCTCCATCTTCTCCATTCAGTCAAGATTTGGGACACGCATGCACACACTACTGGAGTGTTTTTTTAAAAGTCACCGGGGCTGTGGCCAGCAGATGATATGGTGGTTAATGTGCCGGACTCCCACATGACTGATGTGGTTCGAGTCTCAGATATGGTGGCTTGTTTTCTTACTTTCTCTCTCTCCCTCTCCCTCTGTCTCTCTCTAGTGAGCATGTGTGTCCTATTGCAAATTATAAAATAATGATTAATAAAATTATTCTTTCTTTTTTAAAAAGGTCACTGGGGCTGGGATTTGAATGACAGGTAGCCATGTGGGACCCAGCTCTCTTAACCATTATGCCATGTGGCTGGCCCTACTTGAGATGTTTATCTCAGACAAAATGGATCTCCATTGTGAATACATGTACTGGTATCTGGAGAACGGGCTGGGCTACTGGTCAGGCTGGCTGATTAGTGGCAACATAGAAAGTTGGTGCTGTGGTGTCAAACACTCTGCAGTGACCACCCAGTGCAGCCATATGGGAACCCAACAGCTGGAATCTCTCTTCATTCCCCCCAGCAGAATCCATTGGCTAAACCTGAAACTATAATATTAAAACTGAGTTTTAAAACTCAGGGAGGAAAAAATGGCTTCTTTCACAAAGTTCCTCTTTTTTCTTGTAATTTGCTACAGAGTACATGTGCTTGCCAGAGGGTGACAGACAAAGAAAGCGAGAGAGGGAATATGAGAATGCACACCCAGGGGCATGGCCATGCCACAATCCCTTCTCCATTCTCCTCTCAGGATATTGGGCATACACACACATGTGCTTGGTATGCTTTTCAAGTTGATGGGTCTGAGACCCAAACTGTGTAGTTGGTCATGTGGAATTCAGCGGCCTTAACAACTGGATGGCTCTCACAAAGTTTCTTTTATTTTGGCCCTGGAGAACATTCATAGGAATGCTTGTCAAACTGTGCACATCATCCCTGTCGGACTGTGCCTATTACATTGCCAGAAATGTAAGTAGGGCCTACAGAAGCATTTACTCTGGGTACCCCCACTACTCAGCTGGCTGGGAGAGGGGAGCACAGCAGGGAACCACCCCTGTAAACAGTATCTTCTCTCCTGAGCCTCACTGCTGTTGTTTCAGAAGGCAAAGATTGATACAATCTAGACAAAAACCAGATTACATAGCTATTTTAGTTATGATCTAAGTCAACAGCTCCATACTTGGTGAGCAGTAACTCAAACATTATTAAAAAAAAATAATAAATTCTAAGCCACTGAAAGATGAAGAGAAACAAATTCCACAGACAGAGCCAAGTTAACAAACGTCCAGTTATCCTTGCAGAAGTTTACAAAGCAAATCCCCCAGCCCGGTGTAGGTGGGGAAGCTCGCCTGTCTCAGCAGGAGGTATAGGACACTGGAGTCAGTTCACCCCTGCTTGTCAGTTCAGCTCACACAGAAAGTTTGTTCCTCTATTCTCTAAAACTCACTGTCAGCATGACCCAGTGTGGGACCAGCATGGTGTAATGTAAAGTCCAAGCTTAGGATTCACAACAACTGCTTCCCAGGAGCAGCAGCTCACTAGAGCTCTCTCCACCTCTCTGGATCTTAATATCCTTATCTATGAAAGAATGGGTTCCATTAGAATGGTCTCTGGTTTTCCCCTGCTAGAAACCTGCTATGAATTATTTAAGAAATAAAAAAAGAAAGAAAGAAAAAGAAAATCGCAAGCTACCCTCCATTAATCATATAGTTGACCAGTCCTTTTCAGTGGCGTTCTAAATTCACTGATGTGAACAGGTGTCAAGGCAGCCTGGGACACGGTTGTCACTCATTCTTACAGTAGGGAAGACATCCACCAGATGGTGGTGGGGTGTTCTGAGACATTGCTCAAATCTCTTTGGAAATATTTTGGCAACACCTACTAAAATGAGAAGTACACATATATTTTTAACTCAACTAACCCTCCCCTAGTCCACATGAATAGAAGCAAAAGCATTCAAAGACAAAAAAATGTGTATTGCAGCACCCTTTAGAGTAGTTAAATTAAACAACACACAAAACAGACCAGAAACAAAGCTCTTGACTTTTAACAGGCTTCCAAACTGTAGACCAATAGGTGGCTGTTAGAAAGAATGGGCGAGATCTGGTACAAGTGACTGGAAATAGCTCTCCAGTCTGTTTCAATGAGAAAAGCAAGAGAAGCCTCAAAGTGTAAGTTATTTTACCCCATTTCTTTTGGAAAAATAAAAAGATGGCGAGGCGAGGAGGATGATTCCTGTATGCCTATGATTATTATGATTATATGAGCCTGCAGAAAGGTCTAGAAGGCCTTTAGGTTGTTCATACTGATAGGAAAGGGCAGGAAGAAGAGATGGACTGGCTGGAGGCTTAGAGATCCAGAAGGGTGGAAGGAGAAAATTCAAACTGAGAACTTTGACTACAGCAGAAATGAAAAAAAAAAAAAAAAAAAAAAAAAAAAAAAAAAAAAAAAAAAAAAAAAAAAAAAAAAAAAAAAAAAAGTCAGGATTCAGCAGTAATGGAAGCTGGCGATCGCTCAGCAGATCAGAGGCAGAACACGCTGTGCTGTGTAACACCCGCAGAACATCCAGCTCAGTGCAGAAATCCAGTAATCACCTACCCACTGCTGTTATCAGACATTGGGGAGGAAGAGCCCCCATGGAATCCTTTCATTTGGTGGATACAGACAACTGAAAAGAGGTCTCACTTTTCAAACTGCTACAGGGGATGCCTAAACATTTCCTAAATTATTTAGGACCCTGGTTTCTTCTCCCTGCTTAACCATTCATTTTTTAACCATTTCAAAGCTATGGTTGGCAATTGAATTAAATAGGGAAGAAAGTTCAATTAACTCTAATAGTTGGGGTTAAGGTAAAGGAAATAAGGATTAAAACTGCTGTATTAGTTTAGCAATAGAAATTGCTTTTATTTACCTATGTCCGTTTCCTACCTTCGTGAAAAATTTAATCCTCTTGTGCTCACAGTTTAAGGCTTTTTCAGGACACTCACATTTTAAGGGTGCAGTACATTCATCTTTTGATATAAACGTGCCTGAGCTTCCCAGACAGAAGCTGTGGACAGAAAGAAGGGAAGAAGGAGAACATCCCGGAAAGCTATCATCGATGACTCACGTTTCCCTTAATCCGGGATATACAGAAGTTTTGGAAATTTAGCTGAACTGCTGATAAGAAGAGGCTGTTCTGCGTTTTCTGAAGAAGTGGCTCTAGATACAAAATGTTTGCATTTATCCTTTACTCT